CAGCACCACATAAGCAAAAAGAAAAAAGCCAGAAGTGGTGCTGTGGCTCAAGTGGTAGAGCGCTAGCCTTGAGCCGAAGAGCTGAGGGACAGCGCTCAAGCCCAGAGTTCAGGCCCCATGACTGGACCCAGAAAAAAAAGTCCAGCTTGTTGCATCTAACCAAAGCCCCCAGGTAGCCAGGTGCTGGTGGCTCACACCTGCAATCCTAGCTACTCAGGAGGCTGAGATCTGAGGATCACAGTTCAAAGCCAGCTAAGGCAGAAAAGTTTGTGAGACTCTTATCTCCAACTAACCACCAGAAAACTGGAAGTGGAGCTATGGTTCCAAGTGTAGAGCACTAGCCTTGAGCAAAAGAGCTCAAGAACAGCACCCAGGCCCTGAGTTCAAGCCCTACAATCTACCGGAAACAAACAAACAAAAAAAAGCCCAATGGAATCTCCAGCCTTCCCTGGAGGCGAGATGGGGAAAGGAAGAGAACATATACCTTTGCCCTTGAGTTTTCTGGGTGTGAAAGTAAAAGGAGGCCTCTTAGCTATGCTCCTATCCTTGCCAGATATCAGGCTTGTGAGCACAAAGAGAAGTCTGGAGGTTGAACACTATGAAAAGCCATCGCACCCATGAAAGTTGTTGAATAAGAGGCATGGGTGATAGGTAGGGAAAAAGAGAAGAGGCAAGCTGTTGTCTGATTAAATGATTGCCAGGAAGGATGGGCATATCCTGTCTAGAGTGGTAAGAACCAGTGGGAGAGGGGAGGGCAAATGGAGAAGGTGAAGGAGGAAGAATTTGGTTCAAACACTTCCTGTACATGTGTAAGAATGGGAAAAGGAGGCATGTTGCGGTTGCTTTGTGAAAGGGGACGGGTGAGGAGTCAGAGAGTTGGCAGGGGTGAATCTGATCAAGGTGCATTGTGTGCATATACAGACATGTCAGAATAAAACTTCCTTGTATAATTAATTGATGCCGATTAAAAAATGTGTGGGAGCAGAGCCTCCGATTGCTCTCTCTGGAGATTCTCTGGGGACTGGAATTTCCTAGAGGGGTTCTTCCTGGCTTTGCAATATTACCACGTAGAGTTAATTGCACTGTTGCCTTCGACCAACTGACATTCTGGGTCTCTTATCCCTGTCGAAGGACAGATTTATTGCTTTTTGGCACTTTGGGGCTCATAATATTTTTCTCTGTAGCCATGCTCTCTCTAAATGTGACGTGAAGATAATTTGATGTAATTGTATTTCTGACATACTATGTGATTGCTCAAGGTGATTGCTGGACACATGTGGGCAGTGTCTGCAAATGACAGCCCCTAAAAGGAAATGGAGATGTTAACCCAACGATATATATATATATATATATATATATATATATATATATATATATATATATTCCCCTTCTGCAACACTGCCTGCCTACACACCACAGAAAAATGAGATGGACTGAAATTGATGTTGAATATTTTAGAGACCAATTTTCCCCTCATTCTCTGACTGCACAAACCACATTTATCCCACACTCTTGTACGCTCTCTTCCTGCATTGGGATAAAACATCACACCATGGGCATGAAGGTCATGTCTGCTCAGAAAGTCCTCAGCCCAAGACAACAACTCAGAGGCAGCCACCCCTGGATAAACATGGGCACAGAAGGCAGGTGGGCAAAGGGCAAAAGGCAGAGGGTGGCCCTGATGATATCTCACACACCTTGGCCCTCAGCATTGCCCAACACTCACGGATACACATCTGTAACCCTCTGATTGTATTCTGCAGTCACAGATGAATGGCAGAAGAGAGGCGGGCAGCTCTGGCAGCTCATAGAACCCGTGGATGGGTTTCACCCCAGCGAGGTAAGCACCGCCTTCAAATGATAGCTGAAGGCTAACATTTTAGTTATTTTTGCAATATATATATATATATATACATATATGTGTGTGTGTGTGTGTGTGTGCAGTGGTATGTCTATATTTTTTGTCGATCAGGGGTCTTGAACTCTGGGCCTGGGTACTGTCCCTGAGCTCTTCAGTTCAAGGCGAGCGCTCTACCACTTGAGCCACAGTGCCATGGGTATGTCTATTTTTATTCTATTTCCTGCTAGGGAGAGTTTGAGGTACTAGGCACAGGTTGTATGTGATATTAAAAAATGCTTAAAAATTAAGATTGTATACAGCATAAAAAATTCAATTCAGATGATGCAAAACCCCTAGGGAAAGTAATAAGGTAGAAATTATATCTGGATCTCTAACTAGTGACTAGGATTCATAGAAGTATGTGTGGAGTAGTCCTACGAAATGACCTGAGGAGCCTAGAGAATGCATGCTTCCTGGCAGCCAATCAATCCAATGAGGGGCATCAGTAATGGCCTCATTTAGATTAAAAAATAAATGGAGTATTTAAATCCAGGTGCAATGGCTCACACCTGTAATCCTAGCTACTCTGAAGGCTGAGATCACAGAAACATCATAATTAGAGGCCAACCCAGGCAAGAGAGTTTATGAAATCCCATCTCAGCTAACAGATGGGTGTGGTAGTATGGGCCACCTGTCATTCCAGCCACCTTTCATCCCAGGTATGCAGGAAACATATAAAAGAAGATCATGGCTCACCAGGCTGGATATAAGTGGAAGAATCTATCCTAAAAGTAACTAAATCAAAAGGGACTTGGGACATGGCGTAAGTGGTAAAGTGCCTTCTTAGCAAGCATGAGGCCCTGAGTTCAAACTCCAGTACTGCTCCTCCAAAGAAAAAAATATCTGGGCCAAAATATTTCCCCTAATCCTATGGTCCCTACAGGATTTTTGGTGATAAATGAGCCTCCATGGCATACCTACCACTCAAGTGGACCTCGGTGAATAGCCATGTCCTAACCTACCTGCTCTTCATGTACACTGAGTCGCCATCTTCTCCCCGAGTGCCTAGCCCAGTGACGATTAGTGAAAGGAGAGGAAGCTGTTCCTGCTACTTAAGATTGCAGCATAGAGAAGATGAAAAATGAGGCCAAAGACCATTAGGAAATGAAAGTCTGGTGCCTCGTGGAGCCAGTGGACATTCCATCCAGTCTGTTCCAAGTGCCCAGCGGTGCTCCCAAACCATTAGAAGGCAGCCCGGCACAATTCCATAGCATCAGGCCATTAAATGAGACCTCATGCTTCATTACGAGAAACTGACGTGATGAACTCAGACACCACTTCTGGCTCCACTGTGCTCTGAATTGCAGATGTTTAAGTGCAACAGGATGAAAAAGAGCACTGGGAAAGCTTTGCAGTCATCAAGGAAGCAGCATGGCGGAGGTCGGGGGGGGGGGGCTGCCTCGGTTAACCGGAAGTCTCCATGTAACCAGAACACCCCACTTGATCCCATTCTGATGCACTAGATTTCGCTCTAATGTGTCCAGTGAGGTGAGAGGGCAAGCCAGGAGGCCTAGGAGTCCCTCCTGTACCTCGATGTTGGGTGCACTTACAGGTGGAGGTGTCTCTGGTCTTGTCATCAGGAGAATTGTTAAGGAGGTATGCGACATGTTTCCACCTGTGAAATAAATTATGCAGGATGTGCAAAATGGAGCACCAGCCATTGGATAGAGACAGAGCAACACAGAAATCCACTGGTAACCGAGCACAGCAGAGGTTGCAGGGTGATTGCACAGCCATTGGATAGAGACAGAGCAACACAGAAATCCACTGGTAACCGAGCACAACAGAGGTTGCACAGCCATGTGCCTCTTGCTCTCGTTGAGCTGTTTTCAAGATAGTGATATTCACAGAGAGACCCACACTGCTGCACAAATGTGTGCATGAGTGATTGTGTGTATGTGAGTGGATATGTGTGTGTGTTGTATGAGTATAGGTGTGGGTATATATATGTGAGTGTGCATGTATGTGAGTATGAGTGCATGTACATGTGTATATGTAAGTGTGTGTTGAGTTGATGCGTGCATTCATGTGAGTGTGGTGTGTGAATGTATGTGCCTGAATGTGTGTGTGTGTGTGTGTGTGAATGTGTGAGTGTGTGTTTATGTGACTGTGTGTGTGTATTTGTATCAAATCAGAAAGGCTCCTCACCCCCCAATAGGAGGGTTATATATCTCCTCACCATTAGGGGAAGCTGCCTAGTTACAGATCACTTTTATTTTGTTTTTCACTCCTGTCATGATGGTCATCTTTGCCTCTCTTGGAATAAACAGGTACTCCTGTAGTATTTAAACCTAAGTATAGGGAGGCACAAAAGCAAGTCTGTGTTCAAGAAACAGCTGGTTTGGAGCAAAAAGGATACAGACATCTGTGCCTTGGCTGTGTGGTGCATCCTGGGATTTGCTGGCCAAAGGAGAAAGCCTCAACAGGTGCTTCATAAGTAAATATAAGTCAAAATGAATGAACCATGACCGTGGATCATTTCACCACAAGCGCCTAGTGTAGTAATAACATGCCACTTTCATTTTAGACCCAATATTTGAGCAGTGCAGACCATAAATATTTTAATCTCTATTAAAATGACAGCCAACTAATTGCTTTCAAACCAAGCTGTTACCATGTGATCAAATCTGAGCTCTTTACCTTTTCATTTTCCTCTTTGCTCCCTCACCTCTATCTCTTCACACAGATAGGGCTATAAATCCCAACCTGTGTCCCAGTGCTAAATAATGGTTAGAAAGACAACTTAGCTGCATCAAGCTAAAAGACAAAAGAAATGAAGAGCTAGTGATTTTCCATAAACCTCACTGGCAGCAACCTCTTTGGGTGAGGAATAGCATGAAAAACAGACAACAGATGAGACTGTGTCTTAGGAGACACGGACTGCTTTTTGTGAGAGATGGTCCCACATGGCCTGCACCTGCAGAATGGCCAGCTAGGCCAGCAGCCTTGAACATGTTCCTGCTTTCCACCATGTACGTGTGTGTGTGTGTGTGTGTGTGTGTGTGTGTGTGTGTGTGTGTGTGTGTGTGTGAGATGGAATGAAGTTATATGAAGGTATAACTCATGGATATGACCAAAATTGCATAGCTGATGGAATAGTATCAGTCCCACTTCAGAAGGTTCTAGAACACAAAACAGAATTCTAGGGAGAAGCCAGACACAGCAGTTGAAGCCTAAGATTATGAGATTTACAGGGCCATGCCAGCCTGTTCCCACCACAGACAGCCTGCAGTAGAGCTCTCTGGTCAGATCTGCACTTTTTATAATTTCCCCTGCCTCCTCCTCCTCCTGGTTCTCTCTTGCAGGCAGCTCTGCTGCTGTGGGCAGAATATTTCTGGAAGAAGGTGCAGCTCCAGTGGCCCCAGGTCCTGGGAAAGGAGAATCCACTCAATGCCCAGATTGAACAGGTGTTTGGGGACCAAGGTGGGCACTGAGTGCCTCCAGGCACTTGCCCTCAGGCAGAAATGTGGACGAATGTCATTGGACAACCCCTGTGCAAAGGGGGTGCTACGTCACAGGTGGAACAGATCTTCACTGACTGAATGTTTTAGAAGGGGAGAAAGAGCACTCCTCAACTGAGCCAGAGCGAGGTGCTTTGGGCCCTGAGATTCCCTTTCATAAAGCGCTTGGCACAAAGTGCCAAGCAAGGGGCTATCTGTGCCCTTCCCCCAGTGAATCATTCCAAAAGGGGCTCCTAAAAACTCACCAAGCACCAGCTATCGTCTTCAATTTCCAGGGGATCTCTGTGTGCTCTGAAAGACTGGCCCTCCCCTGTTAGTGACCTCAAGATGCCCAGCAAGCAGCAACACCTCCTTGAAAGGCTCCTGGCCAATGGTCAAGGTCACCCACAAGCACGGACAATCCTGATCGTATGAGTCCTCTTTAAATACCAAATGGAGGGGCTGGGAAGGTGGCTCAGTGGTAGAGAGCTTGCCTTGCATGCCTGAGGCCTGGGTTCAATTCCTCAGCACCATATAACCAACAAAAGAAAAAAGCTGGAAGTGGCGCTGTGGTTCAAGTAGTAGAACGCTAGCCTTGAGCTGAAGAGCTGAGGGATAGCGCCCAGGCCCAGAGTTCAAGCCCCAGACTGGACCCAAAATAAATAAATAAATAACCAAATGGAAAACCATGAATACAGATTGAGATATGCTCTTAAATACTTATGTAGGAGAAAAGAATGATTACAAATCACATACCTTAATGGACAATAATCCCAATTGAGTCCATACAAAAAAATGACAGTTTCTTCCCATACAAGCTTTTGTGGCTGGGCATGGTGACACACACCTGTAATCCCAGCACTCAGGAGGCTAATTCAGGAAGATCACAAGTTTAAGGCCAGCTTCAGCTATATAACAAAACCCAGTCTCCAAAACAAAACCAAAGGAAACTTTTCTTCCATTCTCTCCCTCTGTAAACTTTGTACTTTCCTTATAATGACAGTTTTATGGTATCATTGTATATAGAAAGAATAAACTTGTTGCTTACTATTCACCATTTAAAAGAGTCTCCTTCAGCCACCATTCTTGGCGAAGCCAGGTACAATTTCGGGATTGTTGTCATGGTGGGACAACCTCTATCAAATTTCCTTGGGAAGCGAGCTATTAAAGACTGTCTGTAGTGCTGTCAGCCCTCACTACCTGATGGGTGATACCTGTATATTCATTCAAACACAGACCAAAGACATTTGAAGAAATTGTTTCCATACTGAACATGTAGAGACTCTAGCTTGTCATTCTTAAGCAATACAACCGCTATCTGTGTAGGTGTTTTAACTGCTGTTCTTGGACCCCAAAGGTCCCCTGAAGTTCCATGTACAAAGGGTTTTGTTCTCGACTTTGTATTGTTGGGCGGCGGTGGCGAGAATTTAGCAGATTTCTAGGTCACTGGAGTCCTGCCTTTGGCCTGTTCTAGAGATGGTAGTGGTTCACTAAAATCTGGATATCAATTGCCCAGATGTGAAAGGCTTATTCTCCTCTCTGAAGGAATCTCCCATCCCTGGTTCAGAGATTAAGGACTCTTGTGTGATCCTTATATAAATGATTCCATCATGATCTATTTCTACTATCAGAGGAAAGATCTACCCTGTCCTTCACTATTGAAATGGGGTCCTTTGCTCTCTACCTTTTCCATAATGGCCAGTAACTTTGATCCCTACCTGCCTCTGGGCATTTTCTCTATTGAAGATCCTCTGGGCTCAGCCTGGGTGAAAAAGAAAAAAGGCCAGATCCCCCAAAACAGCTGATGAGCCAAAAGTCTTTAAGGAGAGTGTATCACTGCCCAGGGCAGGCCCCACATCTCCTGGAACTCTGATTTCCTTCATAACCAGGGACCACAGGGACCCCACAATTAAGAGTGCCTATAAACTCATCAGTTTTATGATCTCCTTTCAACACCATTGCAAGCAACCAAACAAGCCTGAATCAGTGGCTGGATTTGTCACATTTTCACATTACACTGCATTGGTTATGAAGAGAGTTGATTCTTGGTAAATGTCGGAGTCGCTGGATGAACAAATAGTGAACAGCTGCTCCTTGGGGAGCTCATACCATCTCTGAGGGACATTGTTTTGCCAATCCATGCTTGACCTTGCCTTACACCTTATTTAAGGATCAATTGACCAACGTTGAGCTCAGAGCTGATGGCACTACTCAACAGAAGCTTCTCTGATGAATACTTTTCTGACAGCCAGGTACCCATCTTGACTGAAGAATAGCAGACAGTGAGCCAGCACTGTGCTAGGGTCATCTGAAACATAGATAGCCAAGAGAGTGTACTAAAATGAGTCACTAAATAAGAAATGAGGGTTGAAACAAGAAGGCCCAAACTAGACATCACTGGCTCATACCTGTAATCCTACTCAGAAGGCTGTGATCTGAGAATCATGGTTTGAAGCCAGCCCAGGGAGACAAGTCCAAGAGACAATTATCTCCAATTTGCCAACAAAAAGCGAGAAGTGGAGGGGTGACTCAAGTGGCAGAACACCAGCCTTGGGTGGAAAAAAAAAAGCAAGTGAGCATGAGGCCTTGAGTTTAAGCCTTAATACTGGTGTGTGTGTGTGTGTGTGTGTGTGTGTGTGTGCGCACACACACACACACAGGCCCAGCATTAGCTCTTCAACATCAACTTGGGAACATGCAGAATGGATAACCCAACATTCATACTGCTCAGCTTGACTAACATTGAAAGCATCAGAGTGCTAAGGTGGAGTTATGGATAAATCTTAGCCATCACGTTCATAAATAAATAATCCGTGAATAATGAGACCCATTGGGATCTTGAAATGTATTTAAGGTCATCAATACTTCAAAATTACTGTCGTTATTTGAACCATATCAGTGGGGAGGAGGGGGAGAGGGGGTGGTACACTCTTGTAATGCCAGTACTTGGGAGGTTGAGACAGGAAGATTGTGAGTTCAAGGCCAGCCAAAGCTATTATAGCAATACCCCCGTCTCAAGAAGTGAATTAATCAATTAAATTAAATTAAAGTGTTATTCTTAGAAAGCCCCCTACGGGTTGCATGGCACAAAAGAGCATGATGAGAGGGAGGGAGGCTGAGAGGAAAGAAGTACACAATCTAACACGTTTGGTAGCACCACACAAAATTGGACCGCTTCCTGAATGGTCTCAGGGTAGAGGATGTGTTTGGCTGATTCTTTACCTAATGGTTCAACCCAGAGCTTTGTCCTGGCATGACACCAGTTAGCACCCCGAGCTCTCACATCCTGCAGAAGCAAAGTGCCTGGAAGATGTTCCTTAGAAGACCTGGCCTCGGCCGAATGCACTGCTGGCATAATGAACAGAGTTCTTGACTTGGTCTTGGGTATGCAGCAGCATGTCCCCAGAGCCCTCTTACTTGTGCAGAACTTAAATGACCATGCACGTGGGTACTCATGTGGCCCATGCCTACATGCCTACAGATTTGCTGCTGATGTATCAATATGCTATTAACATGTCACTTTCTCATTAAATCTGAGTACAGAAATCGCATTTGCCCGGCGGGATGAACTTCCCTAATCTGATTTGGCTGAGGCTTCTGCATAAATATTCATAAAAGTCATGGCTCTTTTAATCTGGTCTTTCGCTTGGAATAAAAGGGGAGCGGGAGGCAGTGGCTTTGAAAGCCTGTTTTCTGGGTCACTTCTGTAAGCCATAATATCACACAAACAATGGCCTCATCATCAGCAATGTGCAGCTAAGGAAGATTACACTACTGAAGCCTTCGGATGGATGCCAATGGGAGGAGAAAGAAATTACCTGCAGGGATGCTGGCTAAGGATTTCTTTGGGCCTCCTGCTCTTGGCTGGCTGCCTTGTCTTTAATTAATGACATGGCACATTTCCAGGTCCCCTTCAGCCTCACAGCCCTGCAAATGCCACTCCAGGGTTCACTGGGCTCCAGTCTACAAGCAGGAGGCTAGGTCTCACGGCCTCTTCAGCCCCTGGGAAAGTGCAGTTTCACTCTGCCCCCAGACCTGCATGCTGCAGGAAGACTATGAGCTGTTCATGTTTTCACAGTGACCTCTACATCGCATCTCTGCAAACGTCAGCTGCAGCAGGACAAGGAGCAAAGTTGTCAAGGCACAAGAAGCATTTGAGGAGCCCTCAGGCTGCCCGAGTTTCAGGGAAAGAACAGAAGTCTTTCCTGCAGCTTCTTAGAAGAGGGACATGGGGACACAGAAGCAGTGGGAATCCAAGAAGCCATGGGCATTGGAGGCCATCCATACGCACCCTGTGCCTCAGTTCCATCCTCCTTGAAATGGGGCTGGGCAATACCTGACTGCTAGCACTGCTGGAGGCCTGGACAAGGACTAAGCAACACAGTCAAGGCACAAGTCACCACACTGAACACCTGCAACAGACCCGCCCAGCAGGTCTGCCACAGTTCTTGACTTTATAGATAGGGAAAAGGAGCCTAAGAGCTTTTTTGTGTGTCTGCCAGCCCTGGGTCTTGAACTCCAGGCCTGGGAAGTATCCCTGAGCTTTTCTGCTCAAGGTTAGTGCTTTACCACTAGAGCTACAGCTCCACTTCTGGCTTTTTCTGTAGGTTTTTTGTAGGTTTTTCTGCTCAGGCTGGCTTCGAACTGCGATCTTCTAGTTCTCAGCTTTCTAAGTAGCTAGGATGACAGGCGTGAGCCACCAGTGCCTGGCTGGAGCCTGAGAGTTTTAACTTGCCCAAGACCACATGGCTCAATGGGATGAAGAATTTGAAGCCAGGCTGTCTGATGGCAGGGCCTCTACCCCCCGAGCTGCTCACCATCCCACCTTCATTTAGAAGATGCTTTTCATTCTTTTCTTTTTCCCATCATCTACCTGAAAGAATGAAACCACAGAATCAACGTACCCTACTCTGCAGAGTCAACGGAGACCAACAGCTGTGGTGAAGGGCAGGATCTGGATGAGTTTGGGTCTTATTAGCCAAGCATTGAGCACCAGGATGACGAATTTACCTTGAAAGGCATTGACATTGAACTTGGGTCTAATTCAATGGCTGCAATTCAGTGGCCCACAAGAAGGAAGGGTGGGGATAGGGGAACATTTGGGTATTGGCATCTGCATCTGCAAACCCCAATAGTTCATCAGGCTGAAGGATGAGAGGTGCTAGCTTTTCTCTCTTCCTCTCAGCTCCCTGAAGACCTGGGCCCGAGGGCCTCCTTGAAATTGTTTGCAGAGAATAATTTTATTCCTCTTCACTTTGTTCTTCTGATGTCTATCTTTCCACATTAAATGATTCATTAGGGGAGTTTGCCAAAGAAAACACCCACTCTAGAGAAAACGCATGCTGCCCCCTCAGGAGACAGAAATGGTGGTGGCCAGTGGAGTTAAAATGATAAAAACCATTCTTCCTTAGTTCCATGCATGTCCAGAAAGGCTTTAGAATCCACACCACTTGACTCTGAACCCCGAAGTTACTTAAAGACTAATAAATGTACTTCTTAGAAGTAAATGTTT